CCCTCCTCTTCCCTTGGGGAAACACCAGTGGTTGGTTTTGGCCCAGGAGAACCTTCCCCATGCCAGAGATGCCCAGCCAGGAGCTTGTGTCCCTCTCCTTCTGTTTCCCAATCCTCCTCTTGGAGACATGTGCAGACTCCAGTCTGCCCAGCTTCCCCAAAGTCTGGGCCACCAGACAGGTTGTTGGGTGGTTTGGAGTGCTTGAAGGTGTCCCACCTGTGTGGAAGCAGCCTGGTGTGTTCTCCTCTCAGAAATATCCCCAAGGCAAGGTTTTTCCCAAGTGTGTCCCAGAGGTTCCAAACAGAACATCACTTTTGTCCAGCTGGGTGGGGTGGGAGGATACAGCATTCCAGGAGCCACTTCACTCCAAGTCCTTGTGCTTGCCTGCAGGTTTGCTTATAAAGATGAATATGAGAAGTTCAAGCTCTACCTCACCATCATCCTACTCATTGTCTCCTCCTCCTGTCGGTTCCTCTTCAACTCCCGGTGAGTCTGGCTTGGATCCTGGGCAGAGATCTCCTCCCAGGGTCCCCATGTCCTCTTCTCCCATCCTGCAAGGTCCAGAGCTGAACAGGAGATCCTGATAAAGGATCTGGACACCGCCCTGGAGGTGGGGTGGCCTTTGTGGCTGCTGCAGTCCTGCCGTGGCCGTGGTGGGGGGGAGGAGCAGGTCCCTGCCTGCGATGGGTGGGTGTCCCACAGCAGTGCCAGTGCCCCCAACACACCCCTTTACACCCTCCTTTGTGTGACACCAGGGTGACAGATGCCGTCTTTAACTTCCTCCTGGTGTGGTACTACTGCACCCTCACCATCCGAGAGAGCATCCTGATCAACAACGGATCCAAGTGAGTCCCTGGGCTCGGGGAGGGGGTGCAGTGAGTTGGTCCTTCTCTGCAAAGCTGGGAAGTTGGGGCCCATCGAGCAGCTCTGAGCTTCCCAAGGGAGCAGCTCCCTCCTACTCAGGGTGTGTAGCAAGCCCTGGTACAGCTGTAGGAGCGGGGCAGGAGGAACTCCCCATGTGGAGGTGGTGTGGGAAGGTGGAACGGCGGCTGGAAGGGCCCCAGCTCCCGGTGCTGCCCAGACCGGAGGCACCGGGTCCTGCTCCGAGCACGGATGTTTCACAACCAGCCCCACTCCTCATCTTGCTCTGGGAGCTGTCAGGTGGCTGCTCTGCTTTGCTGGTGCACCTTTGGGTCGGGATTCCCACTCAAGACCTGACACTCCTTCTCTCTGTCTGCCTTCCAGAATCAAAGGCTGGTGGGTTTTTCATCACTACGTTTCCACCTTCCTCTCAGGTGTCATGCTGACATGGTAAGTGTGTGTTCCCCGTCCCACAGGGGGCTGTGGGTGGCTCTGGCACAGGGGCCTTTGCTGCCCTGACCTGCAGCCACAGGGGCTGTGGGGCAGGCAGGGCTGGCCATCCCCTTCCAGCCCCATGTCCCCCAGCCAGCACCGTTTCTCCACAGGCCAGATGGGCTCATGTACCAGATGTTCAGGAACCAGTTTCTCTCCTTCTCCATGTACCAGAGTAAGTGCTGTGCTGGGACAGGGACTGTGGTTGGCTTGGGGTGCTGAGCGTGCTGTGGGGCTCTGCAGCACGTGCAGACCTGGCTGCAGCTGCTCACAGCTCTCGGCTTATCTGTGTTTTCCCTTGGACTCTGTCCTGCCCTCACCTCCCTGGCGCTGGGGTGATCTTTGTGGGCAAGGTCATCACGGAGCTGGGGCCAAGAGTTAATCCCTGGGCCCCTGTTGATGGCAGCCACACTCTCCTTGCAGGCTTTGTGCAGTTCCTGCAGTATTACTACCAGAGTGGGTGCCTGTACCGCCTGCGAGCGCTGGGTGAGAGGCACAACATGGACCTGACCGTGGGTAAGTCGGGATCTCCCCTTACTGATTGTCCCAGTCCAGCTGGACCCACCATTGCTGCAGGGCCTGTGGCTGCCCAAGCCTCCCTCCCAGCTCCAGCCCAGCCTCAGCTAACTGGGAGCTGTGGGTTCTGTTAAAGGTAACGGTGGCAGTTTGGTCCGAGGTCAGTTTGGCTGCGGTTTGTCAGTGGCAGAAACAGTAAAAGCTACAAGTAAAGCCAAAGCTCTGAGAGCAGCATCTCCCATAGGGCAGCAGCACCCCACAGGCTGGGTGCCCCCCTCCTCCTGCTCTCCTGGGACCACCAGCCCACAGCTGGCTCCCTCGGGATGCAAGGTGGCAGTGGATGTGGCTCCTGGCATCCAAACTTTCCCCAGGAAGCTCTTTCAGACATGGAAATATCCCTCCAACACCCCAGGTACTGTGTGTGGGCTGTCACCTCCCAGGCCCTTGTGACACCAAGGGCTGGGCTGAGGGGCTCCAGCATGGGCGAGGGCAGCTCCACTGGAGCAGCTTCCTCTGCTGTCTTAGGAGTCCCTGTCACCATCCCCCCTGCGAGTACAGGTGCCCACGGTGAGGTTGGCATGGCAGGCCCTTCTCAGCCAGGCATGGAGTGGGCACTGAGTCTCGCTGCCCGTGTCCAGAGGCACTGGGCTCCATCTGCTCCCTGCCAGCCTGTTCCGGGTCCTCACACAAACCTTCATCCTTTGCAGAGGGTTTCCAGTCCTGGATGTGGAGAGGCCTCACGTTCCTGCTTCCCTTCCTCTTCTTTGGGCACGTGAGTCTGCACTGATCCCTGCAAGAGGCCACAGCCTCAGGTGGGAGCAGGTCATGCTGCAGTCCCAGCTGTGGGGTCAGCAGCCTGGACATCCCACAGTCCCCACAGGCTGCTGCAGCCATGTGATATGGGATGCCAGGGGTAGGGAAATGCTTTCAACAAACGCTGAGCCTTTTCCTCCAAAGCACCCACCGCCTCCACAACTGGAGCAATGAGATGGGGAGGACCTGGGGCAGTTCTGCCAAGTGCAGAATAGAGCAGAGGGGCTGTGGTTAGAAGCCTTCCAAATCCTTTCCAAAGCCCTTCCTTGGTCAGAGGCTGATGGGCAAAGGCTGCTCTGAGGCTTTCTCACAGCCCTTGAGCTCCAGGTGGCACAAAAGGGGAGGGGATGTCCCAGCTGGGGTCCTCTGGGGATGAGCCCTCTGCCCCTGAGCCTGGATGGGGTTTCACTGCCCTCACGTGAGGTCGGTGTGGGGTTTGTGCCCAGAGGAAGCAGCTGGATGAGTGTCTGCATGGGATGGAGCCTCTGAGAGCAGAGCTCTCCCTCAATCTCCTCTCTCCTGCAGTTCTGGCAGCTCTACAACGCCATCACCCTCTTCCGCATGCTCCAGCACCCGGAATGCAAGGAGTGGCAGGTAAGGGGGCTCCCGGGGGGCTGCCCTGGGAAGGGGGATGCCCCAGGCAGGTCCCTCCTGCTGACTTGTGCCTCTGTGCCTCCCACAGGTCCTCATGTGCGGCCTCCCCTTCTTCATCCTCTTCCTGGGGAACTTCTTCACCACCCTCCGCGTTGTCCACCAGAAGTTTCAGAACAAGAACAAAGACACAAAGGAGAATTGAAGGGGGGCAGTGTGGGGGCCAGGACTGTTTCTCCCCACTGCCTCCATCCCCCATCCACATCTCCTCGATTCCGTCCGGACTCTGGTGTCTCATCCCATTCCTTGGAAGCCTGGGCGTGGGACAGAGCTTGGGCCCTGCTCCTGGACAGTCCGGGTGTTCACTGCGGTGCTGGATCCATGCCCAAACCACTCACACGGAGTCAGGAGCACCCTGTGACAGCCACTCCCATTTGCTGGGATGTTCTCTGGATGCTGGTGCTCCCCATCCCACTGGGACAAGGCTGGCAGCTGCCTCAGACAGCTCCTGGCGTGGTCGAGGCTCCCCTTTTCCCCCCCAGCCCTGCAGCCCCTGTGTGTTGAAGGCAGAGGCCCTGGGGCAGCCTCATCACTGCAAGGGGGCAGCTGGGGGCTGTGCACAAGTCCTGGGTTCCAGGGTGTGCCTATTCCAGTTCCTCCCTCACCTTCAATCCACAGGGAAGAGGGGGCTGAGGCTCGGGAGGGGTGGGGAGCACCGGGAGCCTGGGCCAGGCTTCACACTGGAGCTGCACAAACAGCACCCTGGGCTGGCATCTCTGGAGGGTGCAGATGTAAAAATAAAGGGAAGGCGCTGCCCCGGGTCACCGGGGTGGTCTGGGAACAGTTTCCATGCTCTGTGGTTTTGGCTCTTTGGGAAGAGTGTTCTGACACAACCTCCCTGACAGGAGGCTGGAGGTGGGGGTCTGTCTCTTCTGGGTAACATGCAATAGGACAAGGGGAAACAGCCTCAAGTTGAGCCAGGGGAGGTTTAGACTGGATATTAGGGGAAAATGTCTTCACCCCAAGGGTTGTCCAGCCCTGGCACAGGCTGTGCAGGGCAGTGGAATCACCATCCCTGGAGGATATTAAAGCCATGTAGATGTGACACCTGGGGACATGGGTTAGCAGTGGGCTTGGCAGTGCTGGGTTAAGGGTTGCTCTCAACAATCTTAGAGGGCTTTTCCAACCTAAATGATTCCATGATTCTGTGAAAACCCATCTCCCTGTGCCCCTACCACCACTCCCCATGGGGCCAGGTGGTCAGTGCTGTGAGTTCCCTTCCATGGCACCCCTGGCCTGCCCAGCTCTGTGCAAGGGTTGTGGCCAGAGCTTTGGCCATCCAAGGAGCCCAGCAGGACCTCAGTGTCCCTGCAGCTCAGGGAAGAGACACCCTGTACCACCACCAGGAGCTCCAGAAGAACCAAAGAGGAGGTTTGGCACAGCAGCACCCCACTCCAGAGCTGCCATCCTCCCCCCAACCAGGTCCCAGCACTCAGGGTAGGGGCTGCCCCCAGCTCAGCCTAAACCCAGAGCTGCCACCCAGTCCCCAGGTTTCCTCCCAGTTAGCATCCAATACTCCTGCCTCCCTCTGCCCTCTGGCTGAGCAGAGAGAGGGTAGGAAGCAAACTACAGACACAGCATTTTTATTCCAAGGGCAAATGTATTTAAATAATTTACAATCATTGGACAGCCTGAAAGGTTGTTTTTTCTTTTCTTTCCCCCCCCATGCTTAAATCACAAAGATGTTAAAATAAAAACAGTATTTAAAAAATGACCATACACAGTGTGAGGGAGGGGCTGGGCTCAGGGGAGCTGCCGGACCCCAGGGAGCAAGCAGGGCCCTATGGACTGAGACCCCTCCTCCCACAACTGGGTCTATTCCCCAGGGGAGAGGAGCCACCCCCTTCCCGCTGCGTGCTGGAGCAAAGGCAGGCATCAGGAAAGGAGCAGGGGGGTGGTGAGGTCTGGGGGGCACAGGGCACCTCTGTGCCCAGAGCCAGCTGCCAGCCCCTCATCCTAGAGCTGGACAAACAGGGCACGAGGGAGGTGAGGACAGATGGCTGCCCTGCCTCACACCCGGCGGGATCGCAGGGGGCTGCCGGCCCCTCCACCCCTCTGCCGTGCCAGCAGGCCAGGGTGGGCTCCAGCCCCGGGGATAAGGCAACACCTCGTGTTCAGAGAAGGACCCCAGAGCTTTCTAGCAGCGTCCATCCCTTGTGCCCCACATCAGCTGTGTCCCTGACCTCAAGGCAAATGCTGGTGCCACGAGGTGCGCCTTGGGGTGCCGGGGTCACCACGGCTCCTGGACAGCAGCTGAGCTACCCCCCTGCCCCTCTCAACCCCTTCCACCCCCCGGGGTACACAGCCTGTCCCGAGGGGCTGCTGTGGCCCAGGAGGGGTTGGGAGTGACACCGGGGTAGCTGTGGGGCGGGGCTGACACCGTCACCCACAGCAGCCGTGGGCGAGCAGGCACTTTGCACCTCCCGTGGGCCCACGCCTGGGGACCCGTTCTCTCCCCGGCCCCGCCAGCCCCGCTTTTAGCTCCAGACATCCAGAGAGTACCGGCCCTTCGTCATCAGTTTCTTTACATAGTCCACGGCCTGGGCCTGGCTCATGTTCCCGAACTCGGACACGATCTCGTAGAAGGTGTTCTGCACGTCCCGGGCCATGTTTCGGGCATCGCTGCAAACAAAGGGATCATGAGTGAGACACCAGAGTCACAGAGCCCTGTCACCTCCCCACACGAACACAGAGGGTTCACCCCAGCCCGCCTGCCTGGCCCTTTGCCCTCCCCCGGAATCCGGACAGTGTAACCCTCCCAGGGCTTGTAATGCACAGCTGGGGAAACTGAGTCACACTAATTTTCCTGGGAACAGGAATGTTTTCCCAAAGTCCCTTCCCTGCTGCCAGACCTACCCACATACGTAGATATGAGCCATCCCCTCATTAACCAGCTTCCAGATGTTTTCCTTGTTCTTTTTCAATAAGTGCTGGACATAAACCTGGCAGGAAACAAGGTGGGAATGAGGTGAGAGGAGCAGAGCCCCCCAGACCACAGGCTGGGGCGATGAGGGGAAGCCAAGCCCATGCTCAAGGCTCTGAAGACAGTGGAGGTGTGCTGGGTGCTCCTGCCTGCCATGGGCCATCCAGGCTGGAAGTCTCCAGCCCTAAGGCCACAGCTGGGTGTAGCAGCAGGAGCAAGTGGTGGGATGACTAGAGCAGTACCTTCTCAGCCTGGTCCCTGGAGAAGGCCACATTGAGCTGGGTGAGGACTCCCTCCTTCTGGAAGCGGGCCAGCTCCTCCCGGTACAGGTAGTCCTCTCGCTCGCGCCGGCAGCCGTAGTAAAGCACCGTCTCGCCCACCTCTTTGCCTGCAGGGCCACACAGCCTCCATCAGCTGGCCCCTGGCAGCCCACAACCCTGTCCCCCTCCCCACCCTCCCCTTGTCCTGCCAATCCCAGCAGTCCCAATCCTGTCCTCTCTGCTCCCCTGGTCCTACCAGGCCGGAGGAGGCAGAGCTGCACAACTGCTTCTGGTTATATGGGGAAGCTTGAGACTGATTCCCAGAAGTGGCCACAGGCTTCAGCAATGAGTGTGACTTGACTGCAGTTATTTGGAGATGTGGTGGCAGAGGTCAGAGAACTGCCTCAGGCCTATCCACCCCCCAAACATCCTCCTTGGCCAAGAGGACAAAGCATCCTCATGCTGGGCAACACTTGGCTCCTGTTCATCCTCCCCCATCTCCTCTGCTTTTTGCTGGACCCACCGGCAACATGAGCTGCACCTCAGAGGCACCAACCGAATCCCGCAGAACCCTGTCCTGCAGGAGCTCCAGCCCCAAGCAGGTTGCTGGGCCCTCACCTTGCTGCTTCAGCCAGGCCCGCTCCTGGATGAAGCCGATGAAGGGGGCGACGCCAGTGCCCGGCCCGATCATGATCACGGGGGTGCTGGGCTTGAAGGGCAGCCGGAACTGCGACTTCCGCACGTACATGGGCACCAGGGAGTTGCTCCCGTTCTGGTCAGGCACCTTGTTCTTGAGCCAGTTGGTGGCCACCCCTTTGTTCAGGCGGCCCGTCTTGGTCTCGTACTCCACCGTCACGGCACAGATGTGGATGGAATTGGGATGAACCTGCAGGGAAGGGATGTTGGCACCACGCAGAGAGGGAGCCCTGGCAACCCCACAGCTCAGTCCCCGCAGCTCCCCCTCAGTGCTCAGGAATGAGGAGAATTTTAACCTAATGTTAACACTGGGACAGCTATTCCTCCCTGCATGCCCCTCCTGGGGCTTCTGTCTTGTGCCTGACTCATCACAGGACCACGGAGCTTCCCTGGGTATTTCCAGCCACCTCAGGGCTTCAGGCACAAAGTAATGAGTGAATTTTGACCAGCCCCTAAAATTCCACCTTCTTCCAAGCCCTAACAGCCAGGTTGATGGGTGAAGAGAAGCAGGGCCCCAGGGAGTGCAGGTGGTATTGGGACACAGCTGGCTGCAGTGTGAGACCCTCTGCAGACCCCGTGGGAGCTGGGATAACTTCATGCAAGGAGATAACTAAAGTTGCCTCTCTGATGGAAATTATCACCAGGACAAGCTCCCCACATCCAGTCCCCAGCCAAGGACCGTGGTGCTGTGGAGCTGCAGCTGAAGCGGTCCCTCCACAGCCTCATTCCCTGCTGGAAGCACGCTCACCTTGGAGGAGGAGGCGATGGAGTAGTAGCGGGCCTGCAGGCGGGGCAGGAGCTCGCACAGGTGGTCGATGGGGGGGCGCAGCGAGGGCATGTCCTGCAGGATGGCCAGGATGTTCCTGCGGGCCTCCACCACCCAGCTGAGGTACAGGGCCTGTGGGCAAGGAGGGCACACACGTGACCACTTCCCTTCGTGGCTGGCAAACACCCCTCGGGCTCTCTGCACGGCCCTTTTGGGGATCCCCCAGCACCCAGTTCAGCCCAGCAGCATTGCTGGGAGGGCCAGCGCTCCCACCTTGCCCTCGGCAGCGGACGAGGCCATTTTCCGGAGGCGCTCCTGCTCCTCGGTGTCCGTGGCGTACTGGGCCAGCTCGTACAGCACGTTGGTGCGGGGAGGGTTGGTGATGTCCAGGTAGTATGTCAGGGCTGTTCGGTAGGACGTGGGGCAGGGGAAGGGATGCTTCTTGTTGGATTCCTCTGGAGAAGAGGGAGAGAAAGAAAAACGGAAAATCAGCAACTACCTGCTGTTATGTCAAGGGGATTTCGTGCCGGCAGCTACGCACGGTGTGTGAGGGCTGGAGACAGGGCAAGGCTCCAGGGAGGAGAGAGCAGCCCTAAGGCTGATCAGCCTGTGGGCCAAAGCCCCAGTTCCACACTGAAGCACCTCCCTCTCCAGGCAGCTCCCTCTCCCAGTAGCCCATTCTGTGTTTCACAGATGCTGCCTGACAGTTTAGCAGCAAAAAATATTACCCTGTGGTCCCCAACAGGGCTCTCTGCCCTGAGATGTCCAGCAAACCCGCAGACCAAGCAGGGGGGCTCCCCTCCACAGCTAATTTGGCCTCACACACTTACACCTCTATCAGACCTGGCCTCAAAAGTGTCCTTACGCTCATTTAGACACAGAGAGCTGTGCTCAGACTCATCTTGGGAAAGGTCAGCACCAGCAGTCAAGGCTGGAGCCATTCAGCAAATTGAGAGGTCCATAAGGGACAGGAATGACAGTGTGAGGCTGGACAACCTGCAACACTGCACAGGGGGCTACAGGCTCCAGCAGTGCATTAGAGCCACTTTCTCTCTTGAAACCAGGAGCTCCCTCAGGCTTCTGGGCCAGCACATCTGATGCTTCAGGTCTGGCTGTGCTGCTCCAGGAGTGCAATGGGCAGCAGCTGGCATCTCCTTCCTGCCAGAGGCTGGCTCTGCTGGGAATGCTGCCCAGGAAGAGCTCTTTGTACCAGCACAAGTGCTCCCTCCTGGCAGTTCAGTCTCCAAGGCTGTGCCTCCTCTCAGGACTGAATAAGAACATCTCACACACTGAGGGCCCTGTGGAGCTCCGGGGCTGCTGCAGCTGAGGGATGCTCTGGTGGGCTGATGCTCTGTAATTAGGAGTGTGCTGTTACATAATTTGTTGTTGAATGGGCACACTAAACACATTTCACAACTGACCCACTTCAGCTGCTCTCAGCAAACAGGTTTGTGCTACTGCTAGAACAGCACAGCATTCAGAGTGGCTGTGGGACATTTGTCTGCCTGGAGGTGTCCCACGGGACCTGAGGGTGATCTGGATCCTGCTCTGGTGGGAAGGACAAAGGCCACAGCTGAAGGAGAACTGCTGACCCTCAGAGGTCCATCCGTACTCACCATCCAAGTTGTTTAGGGACATGACAGTGTCCAGATCCGTGCCCAGGATCTCACCGATCTGGTTCACCAGAGAGGAGTCGTTGGCAGGGTACACGGCCACGTGGTCCCCGGACTCGTACCTGGCACGAGACACAGGAGAACAGATGCAACACCTGCACCACTTCTTGTCCACCCCCAGAAGACAAGTGGGTTGGTGCAAGAGGCAGCTGGACAACACAGATCCGAGCTGCTGCACCACCAGCGATCCCCAGAGCCCACAGTAACAGCGGGAAGGACCATTGTGGGATAACGGTTTTAAGAACCAGGGTTTTTATGAGGGACCTCCAAGTCAGAGACTTCAACAAGGCCAGAGTTCCAGCAAGGACAGGCCAACTCCCAGACAGGCACAGAGCAAAGCTGCTCAAAACCTCTGCAGTACTTCGTTACATTAAGCCACCTGGATTTGTGACTTTCTAACAATTTAGGCGATTTAAGCCAGTGAGAGGATTTTTAGGAGCAGGGCTTTATTCCCCCTATGCTTGAACACCTAAGCCAGGCAAGCCAAGGCATGAGACATCCCCACCTCTCTCTCACAGCTCATCTGCCCTCTCATTTTTTTAATGACTCCTAGAAAATTCTTTCAACTGGGACTGCGCAGCTAGGAAAGGTCTGTGGGGTGGGAGGGACCCAAAGCAGGCAGTGCAAGAGCTGGGAGAAAGTCCTGACGTGGGGTACCTGGTACAGAAGCCCAGAGGGGCAGTGTTAAGTAATCACTGAAGTACTGGATGAAGCTGGTGCCACATCCTTGTTCTTTGCTGCTGCTGGAGACTGCTCCTGACAAAATAAAGGAGCAGTCTCCCACAGAAAACTACCTGATTTTGGAATTGGAGATATCCAGCTCCAGGTGCATCAGGTGCCGCTCTCCGCCCTCGTTCAGTTTGCGGTTCTCTGTAACCTTGGCCAGGAAGGGGTTCTTGGCATCAAACGGTCTGGAAGGAAAGACAAGGTTTGGTTCATGTTCCAAAGCACACTACACCACAGCAGAAACCAAACTATGATCCTGATGCTACCCACACTGGCACAGAAAGCACATCCTTTTCCTTCTAAGCACAGCCCAGCAGTCAACAGCTTCTGTCCCATTAAGAACAAGTGACACACAAGTGGACTGGAGGAACTGTCACATCTCAAAGAAATATTTCAGGCCGGAATTAGTTTATACAGCTCATCTCCCACAGCAATACTGCCAGTAGCCATCATGTATTGGCCACCCCAGGCGAGGAAAGGCTCAAGACATGCTGTGGATGTACCAGCCAAGCAGCACACGGGGCCACAGGCATCTCCTCACCACTAATGATCCATTAACTGGGGACTCTCAGAGTCCCAGTGGAGATCTGAGCCCCTTCCTCTTGGGCAGAGACAGGCTGCATTGCAGAAATGACACTGCCCACACAGCAGGTGTTGTTAGAGACATCAAGGACCCATCAGCCAACCCCTACCCCACATACACCCTGCCCAGGGGGTCGGCACTTACGGCTTCTGGTTCTCGTAGCTCTTGAGTCGGCCCATCTCTCCCGTGTAGACTTTGTTCATGTTCACATCCGTGTGCACCACCAGCTCATACTGGCGGATGCTGGGCGAGAAAAGAGAAAAAAAGTCAAACTGGAAACCACAAAGTACAGCTGGAACCAGCATATACTTTGCTTGATTTGCTGCAGCTCAAAAACAAATGCAAATTCCACCCCTTTGCCCCTCTCCAGACATGCGGGATCAGGAAAGCTGGGCAGAAAACCCAAACCAAGAGGAAACCTCAGCCTCGCTGGGAGCATCACAACCAGCACAGCCATCCCCAAAGGTACCAAACCCACCGTGTCCCCAGTCAGAACAGAAACTCAGAGCTGGGCTCAAACTTGCACCAGGCTCAGGCCAAGCAGCTCCACTTCCTGCTCTACTTTGCCCATGCCCCCTCCAGTCTGGAAGGGGAGGCAGTGCAGAGGACAGGGAACAGCAGCCTGGGGCTGATGGAATGGCCACCAGTCAGAGGTGGCCAATCTCTCTGGCACCCAAAAGGACCTGCTCCCAAACCCACCTGGACTCTTCTCCTGTAGCCTCCACCCCGAAGTGCTCACAGACTGCTGGCCAGAACTGCTCTCTCCAGGTGATAAAGTCTTCTTCCAGACTATCCAGGGCAAAAGAAAGAGTCAATAACCCAGTCCCAGCTGGGAGAAAAGGGGCATTCTGAGAAGAGCATTCTGAGAAGAGCCATCTGAGATCCCTATGGAGTTTCTCCCTCCACCATGGGAAAAAGCATTTGCCTTGGACCCAGACAGTTTTGGTACCTCCATATGCCACAGATCACCAGAAAAGCATTGTCAGAGCACTAAGTTGGAATTGTTGCTATACCAACCACCCCTCCCTTCACCAGGTCTGCCAAGGAAGGCTTTGCTATTCAGGCTCACTCTTTAACCACCTCAGCTCCCCCCTTGCCCACTCCTGGCATGAAGTCACCTTCCCAAAAGGCAGATTCCAACATGGCAATGTTCATTTTTCTGGGTTCAGAGCCTCTCACACACCTCACAAACCTCACATCAGACCTTGCAGAGGTAAAGCCAGAGGTTGATGTAATGTCCCAGCGTGCTCAGGTGAGCACAGAAAGGCAAAAATAAAATAAAAATCATTGTCTGAGTTGGAAAACTGCTGCCTCCCACCATAAAACACTTCACGAGGAGATGGAGTCTGCCTTCTCCACAGGGATGGGGAAGTTTATCTACACAGGCTGGGTTAGCAATGGATCTACAGCAGGACAAAGGCAGAGGAGGCTGCAAAGCCTGCTCCAGTATGTACCTATGGGCATTAAGAGCTGGTGTGGGATTTCCCAGACACAGGATTCCCTAGGATACTCCCTGTGTACAGGGATCTGATTGTGGGAGAGAGAGCAGACAGACACACACTCAGAGTTACGCCAACTCCCAAAAGAGCCCTGTAGAGTTTATTTCTGTCTTGGTAATAGAGCCAACTCCCTGCCAAAGTATCCAAGATGCTTTATCCAGCTGTGACCAGCCCCTCCACCCAAGCTACTCACTTGCCATCATCATCTCCCAGCCCAAGCTCAAAGATGCGCTGGGCTCCGAGTTCCTCCAGTCTCTTGTCCACATACTTTCCCATGGCGTTGAAGTGCTCATAAGTCTTGTTCCCCAGCCCAAAGACCTGGAAGGGAACACTCATGAGCATAGAGAAGCAGGAGCTGGACTCTTCCCATCCAGTTGACGTCCTCTGGCAAGTATCACCCAGCAAATGAAGTTGAGAAAAGACAGCAAGACCTCTCCCAGCTCCCCATTCACTCTTCGTGGACCTTGGGTAAGAGCCTACCACTGGTGAGGAGGCACCAGCACCTCCCCTGAGCCTGGCCTCAGGCATGGCAAGAGGATGCACTTACAAGAACTCCTGCACCCTCGAGGGACCAGTAAGAGCCTGGACCGCCTGGAGACCGATTGCTGGCCTTTGCCTCCCACAAACCACGCAGCAAATGTTTGCTCACTGCTTCATACAGAGAAGCTTCACATCTCCAGCAGTGGATTTTATCCTCATTTGCAATTATTATGCTGCCTAAGGAATTTGGCCAGGGTTTGGGTGAGGTGGTTATTCAGCTCAGCACAGGAAGAGAGTTACATACTCCAAGTGATTTAAATTGTGGGAGAAGATCTGGCCCCAGGGTGCCCAATTAGCTTCTGAACAGCAGCAGCCTGTAGCTCATTTGCAGATGTTGTATTCAGTGCCTGCAGGCCTGTTTGGGGCTGTTTGTACCAGCAAACCCTCATGATTTAGGGAGTGGAGAGAGAACTCTGACATCTGTATTTAGAGACCTCAGATGTACATTTGCAGGAGTCCACAAAGCCTGCGAAGGAAGACAGTAGGGACCTCAACCAAAACAGGAGTACAGGACACAGACATGCCGTGCCTTTCCCCCAGCCACGTGCAGGCACAGTGGAGGGCTCTTGGCTTTCCTTCCCAAATTCCAACACAAACTGGAGTTGAGCCACTCACTGCAAACCGCAGACCCGAGAGGTCGGTGTCGGCCTCCTGCAGCCAGTCGTAGAAATCCTGGGCATTGTCCGTGGGATCCCCCTCTCCATAGGTGGCCATGCAGAACACAGCCAAGGACTTGTCAATCTCCGAGAGGCGACTCAGGTCCGACTGCAACCGAAGGACAGAATGAATCCCTAAGGACCCCACAACGTGGTTATTGGGCAAGCCTGTTCCTACGGTGTAGGTGTGCAGAGCAACACCACTTGATTACAAAAGGGGTTGGGAAAGGCCAAACCCACCCAAAATTGGCAGGGGAAATAAAGCCAACCACCCCCACTGGACTGCAAGTCAGTATTTCTACTCCACCAGAAAAGCAATGGGATTTTCCATGCAAAGCTGTCAGGGACCGTGAGAATGCAGAATGGCAAGGACCAAGCCCATCTCTGCATCGCTCAGGCTGATCTTCTCTCCCCTAAATGACACTGTTAAAAGGCCAGCTGTCCCTTGGCCAGGGTCCTTGGGTTTTTTTAGGGGACATTAATGGGATGTTACCTATCCTGAGGCTGTTCATGGCTAAATTACCAGGTCATACTCCTCTGGATCCGCTGCCATGCCCCGGAGGCCGTAGCGATGAGCGTCTTTGGAGAGACGGTTGGCAAACTCCTCTGCTGTGCCCGTCTGGGAACCGTAGAAAACCACAATGTTTCGGCCCTGGAGAGAAAAAGAAATCCCTGTTAAATGGTGATTACTCACTTGGCAAATGCATGGATGAAGCACAGACAAAGGAAATGCCTGGGATCAAGAGTCCTGGACTACTGCAACCTAAAGGCAACCAGGAGTCTGTGCTCGTACAGGACTCCATGCCAGGTTTGACAGAAAACTCAAGGCTAAACTGTTAATGAGAACGTGACTCTTGTCACACTCAGAGGGGAGACTCAGGTCAGACTAAAACCCAAAACAAAGAAAAACCCTCAAGATTTATTCTCAACTTCAGGGCTGCAGCGTGACTCCTGAAAACAGGGAACTCCCTGGATGAGAACACAGACTTGCCAAAGCTTTGGGGAAATGCCTGAGCACCAGAGCTCCTGCTCTGCTGCAAGCCAGTTACTTTGAAGTAAAACAGAAAATACATCCAGCCCTTGCTTCTTCCTCTGCTTCCTCTTGTGTCCAGACCAGTGGAGTCAAAAGCCAGTTCTGTGTACAACAATTCCCATTCCACAGCGAGCCAGTTTGGGAACCAACCACGCAGATAAATAACTGCCAGCCAATGACTTTAAAGTCTCTGCCATTTCCCTCTTGACTTTGATCTCATATTACACTTTTTTTTTCCCCACCAAATTTTCACTTTAATTTTTTTCTCTAAGAACAACTTCCAGGCATAGACCCAAAAAGCTATTCCTGGCTGCCCACACAGCCTTCCCCTGGATGCTCTCTGCAGCAGGCATGTGCCTGTATCCAAATCAGCCCCTCCTGCTGACAGTCTCCAGAGAAAACTGGGAAGGACATGAGCTCTCCCTCCTTCCCAGCACCCCTTGTAGCCCGAACAAGCTGCTTACCGTCTTCTTCATCTTCTCAATGAAGCTGCTGTCTCTCACTGGAGCTACTCTGAAAGACAGGAGGAACCTCCTTTCAGATGAAACACACTCATTTTTTGAGGTCAGGAATAAGCAAGTGGGGAAGAAGTGGCCTCCAGACCTCAGGAAGGCTGCCCAAAGTCTGCCCACTGACCATCCATGTCCCAGGGATACCCATCACTCAACCACAGGGCTTCTGCAACAACCATGGAGCAGGGACTCGGAGCAGACAGGAAAAGCTGAGCCCCTGCCTTACCTCCACTGGTGAATCCTCCCACAGGGAGAATCCTCCCACTCAGTCCTGTCTGTCAGGAAGCCTTTATCAACTGCTCTGAGAGGTTTCACAGCTGAGCAGGTTACAAGGATCTCACAAGAGCAGGTCTCCAGATAAATCTCAGGGGACAAGCCATGGTGTGAGAGAAGGGAACAGAGAGCTCCCTGCTTCCCACATCACTGCAGGCAGGCAGGATCAGTCCTGCACTATGTTCCCCAGGGCACATTCCCCAAGCCTGAAGTCAAACAGGGCTAAAAACCAGCTATTTCAACCTCAAAGCAGCATGCCAGACCCAAGTCCCAGAGCTGGAGAGCTCTGTGGAGCAGACACACGCAGCTGATCAGACCCACAGAGCCACCAGCAAGGCACCCACTGCCAGCCAAGGTCCTGCAGAGCTGGTTCCCTTGCTGGTTTCCATTCCCAAGCAGAGATGGGTCTAGTTGCAGTCAGATAAGGTGCTGGGGGCTTTTCACAGCAGGCAAGGAGGACAGGAGCTCCCTTGCTGTCCTCCCCACTGGAGCTTTGGTAGCAGGGAAGAAGAACGTGGGACCCGTTCCCATTTCACAATGGAAGAATGCAAGGCTGGGTCTCCTGTGGGAAGAGAGAAGCCTCCAGGCAAAAAACAAATGGTTTTGGCTCCAGCCCATGTGAGAATGTGAAGAGCTCACTAACAGTTTCCTAAACTCTGCAGCCCAGGGGGAGGGATCTTGCAGATGTGCCGTGGCATTTGCAGAGAGCACACACACAGAGCAGCAGGGTGGGGGACCTTCAGTAAAACATGCCTCCAAGCACCCTCCTTGACCCAAAGGTATCAAGGAGCTCCATAACTGGGCCTGACAGTTCTGAGAACTAACAATCTCATACAGCACACACATCAAAGACAAGCAAAGCGTACTCCAAAAAGCTACCCAAGGCAGCTGTGCTCCCAGGAGAGAGCTGCTTCACACTCCTGCTCTGCTCTCCCAGCAGCTTACACTCTCCCAGAGTTGTCATTTGTCCCCTGTTGGGAACTGGGATATGACAAGCATCTTAAGGGAGCAGTCCCAGCCCTGCCCATGCTGTCGCCAGGACGGGGGCTCGAGAGAATTCACAAGACTCAGCTCTCACTTAGCTTTTGGCTTCCTGGTGAACCTCTTTGGTTTTCTGCCCTCTGCAAGCGAGATCCAATTAAAACAACTGTTGGGTCAACTGCTAAACAAAATGCTTTTTAAGGAGGAGAAAAAAAAGTTTCAGATCCTTTCAGCAAGCTCCCTTTGGAAGAGAAAAGGGTGCAGCACATGGAGCTCGTCCGTTTTCAAAGGAGGCAACCCCACACTGAAGTGTGTGGTGGAGAACAAGCTGTGGCTCAAACACAGAAGAAATAATGAGCCTGGCTTTGGAAAAAAGGCTACACAACTCTCTGAAATTGCTTCATCAGGGTGGTTTGAAAATCTGAGCTGCGAAAACACACAGGCGCCAAAGGCAGAAACAACACACATTTTCACTGCTCAGCCAGGGAAACTTAGAAGAGAAAGTGTGTTCTCAGCAATGACTGCTCTTACAGCTTAGATAGCTCACAGCAGTGACAATGAGAATCAGAAGTGTTGGGTGGAGGGAAGGGGATTAACCCCATTGTTGGAATGAGCTGTAGCTTGTACAGATCTCCCACCCTTGGTGAGAACCCACAGCACAAACAGCTCCCAGGGCTCTCTGTCGTTTTGACTTCAGGAGAAAGAAAGGAGAGGAAGAGAAGTTCCCGACAGCTCAGCAACAATATCAAAGTCTGTCCCAGCTGAACACCTCTCCTTCAGAAAGTTCCCATGCCCATGGCTTTCCTGACAAACACATAGATACATCCAAAAGTGCAGACACAGCCCAGACACTGCAGAGCACCGACAGCAGGGTCTCCTCTGGAGCAGCCTGCCTCTGAGCAGAGCCTCTCCCCTTCCTCCTCCTCCTGTCCCAGAGGGAAGAGGTATCCCACTCTTTGGGGCGGGAGGAGCGACCCTCCAAGGTGGAACAACCCCGTGGCCCATCGGGCAGACTGACTCACCTGGCCACGGCCGGCTCTTCCCGCGGGGCCGAGTACACGCAGCCCATGCTGGGCAGGGAGAAGGCAGACAAAGAGTCCCAGGGCAGCTGTGTCTGCAAGGGGAGGTGTGGGGGGACGGATCTAACTTAGCTCTGGAGCCACACAGGCCTTCCCATTCTGCTCCTCCTGGGCGCTAAAGCCAAGCGTCAGCCTTTTGTTGAGGAGAAGAGAGCCGGCACAAAAGGTCCCGGCACGGGTCATAGCAGGAGTGGTCCTGTCCCCTCGGATCCTCGTGGTGGGGCTTCGGAAGTTACCAAGTGGATCCGCACAGTCCTGAGAAACTGCAACATCTGGCAGCAGTGGCAGAAAGGAATTAGGAGTGGAGAATGAAACCTCCCAGGATCCTCCGCAGCACACGTCCCTCTCCCATCGGCGTGGAGCAGGGGGACGGGACACAGAACCCTCCCCCGGCCTTGTTACCTTGGAAACTGTTTATATCACAGCTGCTTTTATATATATTCTCCTTTTTCAGGAAAAAAAAAAAAAAAAAGAAAAGCTTGATGCCGTAGCTGAATGAAACGATTCCAGACACTGCGTGAGCAACGCTTCGGGTAACTATGGCAGTGCCATTACGGAGGCAGCTCAAAGGAGTTTGTTCTCTTCAGGATCCTATTAAATTAAATTAGAGATGGTCTCTCTCTCTCACACACACAGGCAGCAGAGAGCTAATCAGGCTAAGGAGTTGGAGCAATTCCTGCCACAGGAAGCCCTACAAGCACCAGGGAATGGATTTCTGCATAGCTGCAGAATAGAGATAAGCCAGTTTCTGCCCCAAACAATGTTAAAGAGGGGGGAGAAAGGAGAGGGTGACACCCAGCATACCAATGGCTGTCCTGCCTATGTCTCCCCAGGATGACTGCCTGTACAACTCTGGAGCGGGCACATGAGAAGGGAAAGAAATCTCTGACTGAGAAGCGTGCAGAGGAGGAGCAGCCAGAGAATAAAAATAAATTTGTGCATTCCCCAGCAATGCCCCCACGAGGAAGCGCGGTGACCACGGCTGCGTGGCGATCCAGAGCTGCTCTCCCTAATGACATCTGCAGAGCAGGCTGCAGGGAAGGCTGCCCCAGTGGTTTTAATTAAGTCTGAAAATAGTCAAAACACGAGCAGTCAGTGGGATCCCAGCCTGTCCCACACATGCATGTGTTACACGTCACAGGTACAGGATGCCTTCCGATGTGCTGGATTCTGTCCCTTCTGCGGAGACTTTGGCCAGGAAAACAGCTCCACTTGGCTGTAAGGATGAAGAATCAGCAGCCTGATCCCTCACTGAGCTGTGGCTGAACCCAGGGATGCATCGTCATGGCAAGATCATGAGTGTTTCCAGGCCACACAGGCTGGTGGAGCCACGCAGGGAGAACCCAGCCCAAAAGAGGGTGTTTCAACAGGGCATCTGTTTTTCCACAATCAAGGGCAGTAACAACAGTGGCATTTCCTTTGCAGACCCTGCTGAGCTGACACGGTTTTATCAAGGTGCTCAGCAGCAGCTCCCAAAAAACACCAGGAGGGCACTGAGGTGCTGGATGCTGTGTTCAGGTCGGAGACCCTACTTGCACTGTTCAACACTGCAAACAAACCATTAAAGCAGCAGCCATTGTGATGTGTCTGAATCCCTGTTCAGCATCTTCATCCTCCGGTATCCTGAGGCTGAAGTTGGGGGAGCCAAAGTGAGACAACTAAATCCATCACTCAATGCCATCAGATAAAGCAGTTCAGGACAGTTTGGTGAGTCGAGGCAGAGCTGTAGAGAAGAAGCTGAAGAAAAGCAACCCCTCTTAAGGCCAAGGCTCTCCAGAGACAGCCCTGATGAGGTCTCTCTGCCTTCGTGGGTCTGGGACAGCTTCCTTGCCTGCCCACAGGCCTGCCTGACATATCCAGCCAGCCACAGGCAGTGGCTGACAGTGTGACCCTGTGTCTTGTCGATCTGCCTGATCACCAGAAAGGAAACTCCACCCCAGACTCAAGGATTACAAGAGGGAAGGAAACCCAAGGCTGAACAAGCTTGTTTTTTCCACTCATTTTCCTCCCAGTTCCAAGCATCCCATAAAATTACACTGCAAGACCTGCAGGAAGTCTCTGTCTCTGTCCCAAAAGGCAGATGTGCCACCAGCCACAGCCTTGGCTTATGGGGCCACACTGCCCTCTGACCAGCTTGCTGCAAGGACCACAGCAGGGCTGCAGCAGGGTCAGGCTTAATGTAGAGGGAGAAACTACTTCACAGCCTCCTCTCACTCTGCACCTGCCTGGCTGCCACTTTTCCAAAATGCAATAGTGTCAGATGACTTCCAGAACAGCCTCACCTCTTCCCTAGTTATCCACAATGGGACGTGCTGCTGTTCCACATCTCCCCCAGGGAGCAGTTGCACAGTGCTCCCTTCCAGCCATGGCTCACAGGGAGAGGCAGCATGGACCCCATGGAGCAAACCCAGGCAAAGTGCCCACGAGCAGCTCAGAGCCAAAACCCCCATCCATTCCCAGATGGAAGCCTATGTGCTGAGGCCCTGCAGCAGCACAAGGTGGTAACATGTACCAGGGGCAGTCAAAAAGCTGCTCTGCAAGGTCACAACAGCCTCTGGAAGAGCTGCACGTGGTGAGTGCAGGGTGGAATCAGTCACACAGGCCCAGCCTGTGCCATGCCAGCATCTAATTTCAGATGGGTAGTGCCCTTTCCCCAGCCAGATTAGCTCTCATGGCAACAGTGTTCTCCTCACAATCTCCAGAGAGGGCCACGTGCACTGACACACACAACCCTCTCTGCTGCAGGCATGAGAGGGAAAAGTATCCCACCAATCCAAGGAAACACATTCCCAAGGTAAGGCTAAGCAGGCACGGACAGCTGTGCTGCTGCCAACCTCGTGTGCACCCATGTGCACAAGGTTCCACAGCCAGGGTCACTGCTGCCCTTTAAAACCCTCCCAGCCAGAAAATGTACTTTCCATCCTCCTGCAACACCAGAAACAGAAGGATTGAGGTAAAAAGCCCAGCAGAAAACTGATGTTACTGTGAGGTAAGGAACTAAATGCACCCAGGTCTCCACCAGCATGGCTCAATCCTGGCCCTAAGCCCTTTGCAGAAGACAGGGTAGAACAAGGATTTCCCTCTCCAAATCCAGTCTCCTGATGCTGCAGTACCCTGGCATCAAAGCCAAGCAAGTTTCACAAGAGCTGCCAAGCAGCTCATCCCAGGAACTATCTCCCAAGACTATTTCTTTTCTTCATAGCCAAGGGTAGATAAGATTTCTGATAGGAAACCTACTTAAAAGCAAGTCCACATTTCTCCAGATTTATCTAAATGTGACTTTTATCAGAAAAAAACCGAGAATAGCCAAAGCAATCCTTAAGAGTTCTGAAGTACAGCCAGAGGGTTTCCTGCCTTGCCTTTTCCTGCCTTGCTTGGGAAAGGCCAATTCCCGATTTGGGCCACACGGTGGGGGTAAGGCAGAACTGCAGCCTGGCTCCTCCCCCGGGATTTCTGCGTTGGGAGGGGAACACGAAGCTCAGAGGAAACATGAGGGAAGAGAAATATCTTTTGGGACTAGGTTCCCTCACCAGAGGCCTCCTACAATCCAGCTGAGCCTTCCAGGACTCATCATAAGCACGACAGAAAGCTCCACTCCCACCGCGCTGCCTGAGAGTTGTTACTTACACTGTTTGCATTTTGGGCAGGTCGGGGAGTTCCTCCTTTTTCTTGCGGAAGAAGAACCAGTAAGTGAAGAGTCCGGTGATGAGGGAGATGAGGAACACGTCTGTCATGCTGAAGAGAGAGTCCTGCTGTGCAGTGCTGTCGGGAGGGGAGAGGTTTGGGTCCATCCTGGCTTCCCCCATGACGGTCAGAGGCACTGTAAGCAAGGAAACACAAATGAGCACCAGCGGCCACACAGTGCCATGGAAGAGCAACAAGGGTCCTTCAGGAAGTGTTTTTTGCTACACAGTTAGTCCTGGGAGCACAAGGCTGCCCAACAACATCTTTGGAGAGAGGCCTTGCATCACAAGACTGCAGGATCCTTTTGTGTCCCACGGTGTCACACCAAGCTTTTCCCTTCCTGTTGCATCTGTGCTGATCCATCTGAAGTGATTTCTGCTCTCCCTCTACCAGAAACATCACAGCAGTCCCACAGGCCAGCCAGGGAGCTCAGCCTGACTCCTACTAAAGCCACAGCAAAACTCAACAGGGACTCATGGCCACCCTTTATTGAAGCCCTTACTCACCACAGAGCCCCTGGAGTGCTAGTGGGGGAAGATCCCACTCTTCCAGCCACCCAAAAGATCTAGGGCTTCCTCCCTCCTTCCCACAAGGTGACAGGATGCCCTGGACCCACTGTTGTGCTTATAAACCACAGAGCAGGACTGTGGCATGAAACGTCTGTGAGCATCCCCACCAACATTACAACACAAAGGATGAACACTTCTGGTTTAATATCCACCACCATTGCAGGTGGATTTACTATCCAGCTCTTTTTGGGGCTCTGGCTTTCCAGTCCCGTCCACTATCTCCCCTGGTTTAACTTCCATCTCCTTGAATTATTGCTTTCCACTCACCAAGGCAGAGTTTAAGCAACTTGTGAGCTGCCCAAGGCCATACTCAGGGTCTGTGGTAGCACAAGGATGAGCACCCAGCCCTCAAATCCCAAACCTATGGCCCTATAGCCCCATCCTTCCCCTGAGGATCCACCCATCACTCCCTCCCTCTCTCCCACTGCTGTGCCAAAGCTCTGAACTCCTCTGACCCCAGTCCAGATCACAATATTATCTTACCAGAGGCAAGGACGCACTCTGTCCAAGTAAACAGATAATTAACTCAAAACTTGATTTGTAAGGGCAAAGTGTCTCTCTTCTTGTACTTGGGCACCCTGCCAACCCAGGGGACCATGGACATTTGAACTTCCACACAAAAAAGTGACTCAGAGCTGTGGTGGTGCCACAGGAAAAAAAGGACGTGTGCCACGGTTGAGCAGTGAAGGAAGAGCTAAGCCGTGACTGCCAGAGGAAAGTTCCCAGGCAGCTTTTCTGGGGGGGCTGAAAACAGCAGAAAACTCCAAGCCTGTGCCTGGGCTGAGAAATAAAAGTGACCAAAGCTTAAGGTTATGCTAATGCATTCAGGAGCTGGGATGAAAAGGGAAGGTGATGCTTAGGGAGATCTAACAAGGGAGACCAGATACAGCAGAGAACAACCCCTTGTTGTTACCCTTAAAAGGAAACTCCAGCTCCAGAGAACATGAAGCCTTGTGCCAGAGGACACCAGCTATAAAAGGTGCCCTATGGAGCACAGGGAGAAGTCCATAGCAACCTGGCAGTGATCAGAGACAGGTACTCTGGCAACCCAGGCAGTGCTCAAACCCCAAAGAAGTTTAATTTGGTGGAGAACTTGGAAAGTAACTATATTACAAAGGGCACTAAAACACCGCTGGCAAAGCTTCCCATTAAATTCTCAGAGATGACACCAAGGCAGGGAGTTGGAAGAAAAATGTGAGTGATGTGACTACGGACAAGCAAATTGCACATTCCTCTCCATCAGGCAGGTCACCCTGTCCTCCCTCCTTGCAGACGGGCTTTCCATCACTGGATCTCGGAGCCAAGCAAGAGCTGGGTGTTATTTCTGTACAGCTCTAGACAAAACTATTAGCCAAAGCCCCCACAACTGGAGCTTAGTTGCCAAAAAGGCACAGCTCACAGCAGGATCCCTCTCCTCCTTCTTATCTGGTTCCAGTAAACCACCAAGGAGCTGGTCTGGCAACCAACACCAGGGGAACGCGCTGGTGGGGGAAAAATATTGCTGGTTTATTGCCTTCACTCCTGATGAAACCCCAGAACTTTTATTTATAAGCTCTTCTCCTCTTCCTCACTGCCACTCCACCTCACCTGTAGGAGGATCTCAGCCAAAACCTGCCAGGAAACCCACCCTCTCCTTGTTATCTCACTCATCACTTGGATTGTTCATTATGTCTCCAGGCAAAGAAGAGTTGCTGGTTTCCAGGGAGCCTCAGCTGCTGCCCATGCACAGCACAGACCCCTTCTCTTCTTCAGAGATGGAGAAAGCAGTGCCAGACACAGGCTGCCTGGATAAACATCTCCAATGCTGTGAGGTGGGTTGGTTTTTTATCAGTGCCAGTTACCACTGCCCAAATTCCACGAGGGCAGCCAGTTCCTCTCACACAGGGATGGCCACGTCAGTAAGATTATCCTCAGCAACAGCCTGTGTTTCACCCACTTTCCTTGAAAATCCCTTCCCCAAGGCACGTGAGGCAATGACAAACCCTTGCTCAGAGGAAGCCATGAATAAAAACAAGGCTTGCAGGAGACCATGCTAAGCTGGTTTTGGGCAGAAGCTGCACCTCCTTCCCTTCTGAGCACCAAACCCAGCACCCAGAGCAGCTGAGCCCTAGGAAAGCCTCCTTGCACAGAGCACAGCAGCCTCCCTTGTCACAAACTGCACATGGAGGAGAGTTCCAAGACAGACACATCTGTGGTGAGCAGCAGCCAGCCCAGAGTGGAAGGCACACAGGCTGCACAGTAATTCCCTCTTGGCTCTGGATAGCTCAGACATGGATATTCACCAGCTGCCTTCACACAGGGCAAGAAGGAGTCTGTGCCCTCCTCAGCAAGGTGAGGGCTATGTCTCCAGCCAAAATTCATCACTGTGCCCAAATCAGCAGAGCTTCAGGCCTCCCAGGGCAGAGGAGACAAGCAGGAGCCAGAGGAGTTTGGCTTTCTCAATCCCCTGGACGTGGCCTGCTGTCCCAAGCAGGGATGCCTTGGAAAGAGGCATCCTCAGGGAGGCAGCTCCCAGGAATGCAGCGTGGATGGATGCGGGGGTGGAAGCTGTGCTATCTCCCGGCCTTCACCACACTGCAGCTCTCCAGGGCTTCAAAGGGGAGCCCTACAGCTGCAGCCAGACCACACACTCAACCCCTCCAGAGCCAGGGAAGAGAACCATCTCTGGAGGCTTCTGGCTCTGGTGCGCAGAGCTCTCCTCTTCAGTCACAATCTCCACAGCACAAAGATTATATGCTGACCTCTAACCCTGGAAGGAAACATGGTCATGGTCTTGTGATGGAAGCAAAGATGCAAAAACTGCTTTAGTGTTGATGATGTGCTCCCTCTGGTCTTGCCCATTTAGTTATTCAAGTCTTATATTCCAGCTAAAGGTTTTTCTTTTTGCTTTCCCTTCACCATCCCGACCCTGGGGAAAAGGTTCGCTCGGACAGCAAAGGATGTGAAATTAGACCTCATGCTTCTTTTTTTAAAAGGTTGTCACAATTCAGGAACTCACTTCACCCAGCACAGGAAGATTATTATTCCTCAGTTTATCTCAGTCTTACCTAGTTGGCTGTAACAATTATTTTCCAGAAGCAATTTTCCAGCAATTCATTTTGAAATACATTTTCTAACATTCTAACATCCAGTGAAGAGAAACCTGACTCTTACTTGAAATTTAACTACCCTGGGAATTATGCAGCCTCTGGAAGGACCCTGATAGAATCAGACCAGGTTTTTGAAGGGGAAAAGAAAAAAATTCATGATGCAGAAGTAAAAGTTCCCCTGACAACAGTTTCAAGGGTGGTCATTTTATCCACAGTGTTTATTATATCTTCCATTAAGGTAAGACAAGACTTCCATATCCCTTTTTTTTTTTTTTGTAATCGTGGCTCCAGTTCCTGGATCCCTGTTTATGCACACAGCAAAGCAATCACCCTCAGCAAGATGTGAGCACAGAGAAGTCACAACATTTTGAAAGATTACAATCAGGCAATGCTGTGTTTTAGCTCAGCTTTTCAGCCCCTGAATGCAGCTCCTAAATGTGTGAATCTGCTTGATACACGGCAGCTCACAATCACTCAAATCACTGGGGACCTTCCCTGCACATCTCCATGCTACCAAACAGATGCTCTTCATAATCATGTTAAAAAAAACTGTATTCCTAATTCTCACACACATATTAAAATATATATAAAATCAGTATTGCAACAGACAAGACAGGATGGGGAGCGCTCTAAAAGCCAAATGATCAGCAACCCAAAGGGATCTATTCTCCCCCCTTGATCTTGCACACAGAGGATGGCAGCGCCAGGAGATGGTGCAGCAGATGCCTCCAAAAGCACACTGGAGCACAGCACCACAGTCATGAAACGTGGCTGGGAGGTTTCCCCTTCTGCAAACGTAAGGATGTTTCTGCAAGTACTATCTCCTAGTGGCCAAAAAGCGTTGGCTCTGAGGCTAAGTTGGCAGGAAGTTGGCTCTTTGTAAGCCTGAAGTAGACCTTTTTTTTTTTTGTAATGGAATGTCCATGAGGAGTTTCGATTACCTCAGGACAATCTGACTTTTCAGTCTCAGACCAGGACTGCAGCCTGTGACTCTCCAAAAATGAGTGACCAAGCTGGGCTTGACTCTGCCCTGTGCCACCATCAGCACACCACGACCTGCAGTGTCAGCCTTGGTGAGAGGGAAAGGAGAAGGAAGAATGCTGACCAAGCACAGCTTGGGACTGCTCACTGCTCCCACCTCTGATAAGTGATCCCCAGGCACCAGCTGTAGCACCAAACAGCCCCCAGGATCAGCCTAACACAGCAGAAAGAGCTCCCCATGATTCCCACACACCCTACAGACGCTGCCTGCCCTGGCACAGGGCAGCACAGAGGCTGCACCTCCATCTCCAGTGCCCCTGAGCTTACTGAAACACCCAACAGGAGCCAAGCATCAGCACCCTTTGGACCCCTGCAGATAAACTCAGGGGCTGCAGGTAGAACCTCTGTTTTGCAATACATGCAGGAAAAAGCCCCACGATGACTGAGCCAAAGAGGAATTGCGTGACAAACCTGTGGGCAGTGCCATTAGTCACCCT